ATCTGCACTTTCAGAGGTACTTGGTGCCTCCTATAGCCAGGCCTTTTGAGAGTTCTGCTTTCTCAATCCAGTTGCTTCTTAGCATTCCCCATGGCTGGCCAAGAATTCAGCTTTTTCACATCTACTCTCTGTTGCCATTTGCCCATCTGCCTTCTAGCTTCTAAAATTTTGTTACTATCCTCTTCTGGTTCCTTGATCTTTTTTTTTCTTTTTTTTAATCGTCTTTCTGTTGTTTTAGTAGAGTTTATTTGGGGGAGGGAAAACTAAATTATGTGTTCAGTCCCTCATTTGGCCAGTCCACCCTGCCTCCATGTCTTTGCACATGCTTGCCCTGCCGGAGGTCCTGGACCTCTTATGTTAATCCTTTGATACTGTGCTCGGGTAGCATATACTCCTAATGCTGTGGCCCCTGATTCAACAAAGTTACTCCTGCTCCCCTTGCTTCTAGTTCTGTCTGATCTATTTAGTTAATGGCACGTGAGGATTATAATTGATTACATATCAGTCTCCTTTGCTAGTTATACATAGTAATTCTAATCAGATTTAACAAATTACTGCATTAGTAAACGTCATCCTTTGATCAGTGTTAAATATTAAGTACTCTAAAAGTTATAGTACAGACATAAACTTCAGCCTATCTTTGCGTATCTAAAACTTTAGTTTTCAATCTCAAAACAAAAATTACTTTGGAACAATTTATTGTGAAACTTGCATTTTTGTGAAATATTGTCTTGCCGTGGGGTGCCTGGGTGGCTCAGTTGCATTTACTACCTTGACTGTAGTGAAATTTAAATCAAAATAGTACCAGGAAGTAGGACTAGGACATGTGCAAGAATCATGTTCAATTAACTTTTTGGTAGTGCTAAAAGTATCTTTTTGATTTTTATTAACTAATTCTATGAAGAGAAGTTTATGTCCTCATGAGATGTTATGGAATATACTTTTAAATAGAAGGCTCTGCCATCCAATGTAGACAGAGGTTTATTTTCTCTTATTTGAGGTAATATGTACAAACTTAAAACATCTTGGCTTTTAATACAGAATGATCCAGCATAACCATAAAAAGATGTCACCATATTATAGTTTGGATCTCCTGAAATTTTTATTCTATCTGTTCTTAAATGCCCAGGTCTATTTAAAATCAAAATGATAATACAAACACAGTGATTGCTGATAATACTTCAACTTTGATTCTTCAGCTGGTTAAATCTTGTGGTTCTGGTAGAATCTATAGAGACCCTTAAAATGATAGAATCTCAGGGTTGGAAGGGAGCTTAGAGTCCCTCAAATCCAAACTTTGGGCCAGTTTACTTCAAAAAGCCTGAGATTGAGATAGCTTGAGCTACTGTTAGTGAATAACTACTTCTCTAGTGACTGGATACTTAACACCTCTCTAAAATTCTCTTTTTTTCTATTTAACAGCTCTTGTGAGTCTGTCTTGATGTAAGAGACAAACCATTCTGATACCGTTGTGTTGTCTTTTCTACATAGATTGCTGTAGTTTTACATAGGCTCTCATTGTATTTATTATTATTTTTTTGAGTATAGTTGTCACACAATGTTATGTGAGTGTCAGGTGTACAACCTAGTGATTCAATAACTCTATATGTGATGCTGTGCTCACCACAAGTGTAGCTGCCATCTGTCACCATACAACACTATTACATTACCATTGACTGTATTTCTTACGCTATGCCTTTTATCCCTGTGACTTGTTCATTCTGTAACCGGAAGCCTGTATCTCCTACTGCCCTTCCCCCATTTTGCCCATCCTCCCTCTCTGGCAACCATCAGTTCATTCTCTGTATTTATAGATCTGACCCTGCTTTTTGTTTATTTATTTATTTATTTTGGTTTTGCTTTTCTATTTTGTTAATTATAAAGGCAAGTTTCCCCACCCAAACCCAGAAATCAGTGGTAAGAATAATAACATAGGAAAAACCCCTACACCATATCATAAAAACCTTCAAGCATGGGCGAGGTGTGTCCTGGGGGCAGGGAATGGACAGAGGCCCGGGCACCAAGGATCAGGCAGAGATATCGGGGCATGGAGGCTGCCATCCCCTCAGCCTACCAGCGTCCTCTGGGTCTTCACCAGCAGGAACATGGCACGCAAACTTCAGTGCAAGAGCTCGTAAACCATGGCACTGTTCTTGGAGCCCATGACCAGATACCGGTTGTCAGAAGACACATCACAACACAGGACGTCCGTAGGCTCCTCTACCTGACACAGCCTTTGTAGAGAAGGTGTGGCTGTTCAGTGGATCGCCTCGTCCAGTGTGGTCACAAAATAGCTCCCATAGAAGGCAAACTTGAGGTTGTGGTGGTTGACGTATAAGGACTGCCTTAAACTTCTCCCTCTGGTGCTTGTGGAGAATTATGATATTGCTTGTTCTCAGGCCTACTAGCACCCACTCCCCACTGGGGCCGTGGGTAATGCTAAGATCTCATGCCGGAATTCGTGCTGCTGCAACCTCTGGTAGCTCCTCAGGTCCCAGAAATATAGTCTGGTGTCTTCACCTCCTGTCCAGAACTTATTGCCTGCGATGTCCACACAGTGGGACATTTTGTTTTTTAGATGCCACACGTAAGTATTTGTCTTTCTCGGTCTGGCTTTCTTCACTTAGCCTAATATCTTCTAGGTCCATACATGTTGTTGCAAATGGCAAGATCTCATTATGGCTGTGTAATACTCCATTGTGTGTGTGTGTGTGAGTGTGTGTTTATACACACCACACCTTCTTTATCCATTCACCTATCAGTGGACACTTGGGTTGCTTCCAGATCTTGGCTATTGTAAATAATGCTGCAGTAAATATAGGGGTACATGTATCTTTTTGAATTAGTGTTTTCATTTGTTTGCAAATATATCCAATATGAGGTTAATATCCAAAATATGTGAAGAACTTATACAACTCAACACCAAAAAACAAATAATCTGATTAAAAATAGGCAGAGGACCTGAATAGACATTTTTTCAAAGAAGACATACAGATGGCCAACAGACACATGAAAAGATGCTCAACATCACTCGTCATCAGGGGAATGTAAATCAAAGCTACAATAACATTATAACCTTATACCTGTCAGAATGGCTAAAATAAAACAAGACAAGAAATAACAAGTGTTGGCAAGTATGTGAAGAAAAAGGAACCCTTGTGCACTGTTGCTGGGAATGCAAATTGGTACAACCATTGTGGAAAACAGTATGGAGATTCCCCCCAAACCTAAAAATATAAATACCATCTAATCCAATAATTCCATTGCTAGGTATTTTCCCAAAGAAAACAGGTTTTCATTTTAAATAATGTATAGAAGAGTAGCCTCTACTTAATGTATGACTTACCACAGTTCATACTTTATTATAATGGTGGCTCAAAATTGCAAGCATTTTATTTTCATGTTTTACATTGTTTCTAAATAAAAAAGATGTGACACACAGGTCTTCAATAACTATCATTTATCGTGATCTTATTTATGACTACCAAATTCTACAAGAAAGAAACAAAGAACCAAAAGATTGAAAAGAACAAACATACTATACTGATGGTAAAATGTTTAATTCATCTTTGGTACTTGGCATATGTAACACTTCATCATTGTGTCATTCTCAAACCTATTCTAAATCTTTTTTTTTTTAACCAAATATGGGTGTTTAAAGTTTAACTAAGTTTTGCTACCTTGTGAGTGATTTGGAACCATTATAGGTAGAGTGTTATTTAGAGGAGTAAAATGTAGATACAGCTGCAAAGTACTGCAGGAGGGTCCAAAGTTTTATTTCGGACATGAGCCAATAAAGTAGTTGAGCTATGTAATTATGTTTAAAAGCAAGAAAACTGCTCTGTGATCCGTGAAAGCTTATATGTCAACGTAGTAAATGTAGAATTGGTGAAGTTTCTGTGACCCTGGGGCATGATGAAAACAACTCAGTCTTCATCCTAAATAAATTTTACGTTAATTTTGTCTGGCACCTTCGGAATCCACCCATAATTATCATAGGTAGGAAGCCAGTTAAAGGATGCATAACATCAGATTTTAATTGCTATTAACTATCAGTTTTTCAGATTGAAGATTAAAAGATTAAATTCCAAATGTATTGAAAACCTCATTACCACCACCACCATTATCAGCAGGCATTTACTGGACACTTACTTTGTGTAGACGGGATCAGCAGTAGGTTTCAGAGTCCCTAGAGTAATTAGGTGGGAGAATCTAATAGCACTTAGTACTGTTTTATCTCACACAGTGCAACTATTTTACAGATGAGGGAACTGATATACAAAATAATTTCTCTAGGGGCACCTGGGTGGCTCAGTCAGTTAAGCATCTGCCTTTGGGCTCAGATCATGATCCCAAGGTCTCCCTCTCCCTCTGCACCTCCCCCAGCTTGTGCTCTGTCTCTCTCACTCTCTCTCAAATAAATGAATATAATCTTTAAAACAAAACAAAACAACAAAATAATTTCTCTAAATTCATCCAGCTAGTAAACAGGTTGAGCTGGAGTCCACATAAGAATCCAAACCCCAGGGGCGCCCGGGTGGCTCAGATGGTTGAGCGTCTGCCTTTGGCTCAGGTCATGATCCCAGAGTCCTGGGATCGAGCCCCGCATCGGGCTCCCTGCTCAGCGGGAAGCCTGCTTCTCCCTCTGCCTCTCTCTCTCTCTCTCTCTGACTCTCATGAATAAATAAATTAAAAAAAACATTAAAAAAAAAAAAAGAATCCAAACCCCATGCTCTTATTCATTAAATCACCACATTAAGTCACAGAATCTTTTTGGGAAGTTATCAAGAATAGTAGTGAGTGGCTATCCTAAAATATTGATATCAGTAGCCTGAGAATTTCACCTCATCTATAAACATGGGGTCAGACAACCGCAGGTTCCCTTTCTGTACCAGTTACCCTGTTGTGTGATGAGCTCAAGATGTGAATAAAGATTGCAGGCTTTGGATTTGGCAGGATCTGTTTGAGGATCACTGCAGGTGATTTCTTACTTGTTTCAGGAACAGCATCTGTAGCAGTGGCGGGCATCCTTGCGGCTCTTCGAATAACCAAGAACAAACTGTCTGATCAAACAATACTCTTCCAAGGAGCTGGAGAGGTACCTGCCTTATACAATACTTTCTTTCCCTTAATGAACAGAGCTTATCTTAATTATTCATCAATTTGAAGTTTGAGGTATTCTTTCAATTCTTAGTGTATCGCAGGCTATAGGTTTTATTGAAAGATTCCCCAGTTAAGTGTTGAGGCATATTCATTTGTCATAGGAGACTTAGTATAGAGGTATACTTCTCACAATCTTAAATTTCTGGAGATTATCAAATAGTGGCGTGGGTTTTTGTTTTTCATATTTTGCGGGAACAAAAAATTTACATTGTGTGATTATGTTAAAAAGCCTTTAAGTATTTAAGCTATTATATCTGATGCTTTTAGTATCCTCCAGTGGCACATATGAGTTTTCTTAATTTGACTCATGAGTCAGTGCGCACTTATATAACTATGTACAAGTTTTTAAGAGAAAAATATTTGAATTGGAGACTTGTCATGATTTATAACTGTTCACATGCAAAAGAACCAAAACATTTACAGTTGCTGGAAGGAGATGGCAGCAAGACAAAAGTGGGCTGTTTTCTGTTCTCTTTTGCTATGAGTTAATCATTTGAAAGAAGAAAACTAGACTCCAATGATAATTCACCCCCAAAATAGAAATTAAAATGTCAATTGAGTTTTTTTCTTGTGAGAAAACTGCCCAAATCTGTTCAGAGTTATAGAATGTAATGAATGGAGAAATACTTTGTGGCTATATATATTTTAAGAAGCTTTAAATTTTCTTTTCTTTTTCTTTTTTTTAAAGATTTTATTTGTTTGACAGAGAGCAACACAGCGAGAGAGGGAACACAAGCAGGGGGAGTGGGAGAGGGAGAAGCAGGCTTCCCGCCGAGCAGGGAGCCCGATGCGGGGCTCGATCCCAGGACCCTGGGACCATGACCTGAGCCGAGGCAGACACTTAACGACTGAGCCACCCAGGCGCCCCAGAAGCTTTAAATTTTCAAATTGAATATGATTGGGGTGCCTGGGTGGCTCAGTCGTTAAGCGTCTGCCTTTGGCTCAGGTCATGGTCCCAGGGTCCTGGGATGGAGCCCCGCATCGGGCTCCCTGCTCCGCGGGAAGCCTGCTTCTTCCTCTCCCACTCCCCCGGCTTGTGTTCCCTCCCTCACTGTGTCTCTCTCTGTCAAATAAATAAATAAAATCTTTAAAAATAAACAAATTGAATATGAGTAAGTGTATTACACTGGTAGAAATTGTGTATATAGTGTTGGTTTTGATTTTACTTGTTCTTAAAATGAAATACACAAAGCTGAAACTTAAATGCCAAGATGTAAACATGTCAGAGTATTCAGAATATAAATCACAAGTTCATTTTCACATCAAAATAAAAATCAAGGCTAAATTACACCTTATTAAAATTTGAGTTTTTTATTTGTGTGGCTGTTACATGCTGTATTTAATTTTAGTCAACTTCTTTGAGTTCAAATTCTTTGAATTTCCAAAGGGTTTTTGATGAATGGTACAGGCCAGTTCTTAATACTCAGCAGGGCAGAGGTATTCATGGTTGGATGATTCAAAACTGGCACTTGTTTGTCCCTGAAAAGGTTTTGGACATTCACAGATTATCACAAAATTTATCAAATACCAAAGAAGTTGATTCCTTTAATCTTGCAAGAGATTTCACAGTACTTTCTTTGTCCAAATTAATAGAGTAAATAAATGCTTGGGGACAGAGATTTTATGTGTTTTATTCTATTGTCTAATTGGTCAGGTTCCCATCCAAATGACCAGGCTTCATTCTTCAAATTCAATTAGAGGAGCTGGGGCCCAACAATAAACAATACAGTCCAATAAGCAAGGCTGACCAGGTCATTCTTTTAAGTTCAGTATTTCCTCGTTGGAGCAAACCTTAATTGCATTAACAGGATTAAAGATGATGACAATCAAGGATATCACTGGTTTATCTGTAGCTATAGAACAAGCCACATAATGGTGGTTCTGTTGTGATGAGAAGAGTAAATACTTGTCCTTTAGCTTACCCCAAATGTGACAAAAATACTTGGCTCCCAGTATAAAGGAATGAATATAACTGTTTCGGTCAGTAGATCCATTCTCTTCCATCTTATTAACACAGATAAAATGGAGTGAAGCGTAACTCTTGGTAAGTTATTATGTGGAACAACTTTTTAAAGTTTTGTTTTCATAACGCCCTTCACAGGCTGCCTTAGGGATTGCACACCTGATTGTTATGGCCATGAGTAAAGAAGGTTTACCAAAAGAGAAAGCCATGAAAAAGATATGGTTGGTCGACTCAAAAGGATTAATAGTTAAGGTAAGAATTTGTCATTTTCAACTGAATAAAAATTAATGTGCCATTCTGGATGCCCATCTCAAAGATTACTACTACTTCCACTCATCCTAACCCCCAACACTGTGTTAAATGCATAGCCATGTCGTACAATAATACTGATACTCTTCTGAAAAAGAAGACTGGCTCAGCTGCAGAATTGGCCCGTGAGGTACGGAGGCCCCTTACAACTCTGTGGGTTGTCAATGCATTTGAATTAGTCTCCAGAGGAGGCAGTTTGATGCTGATAGAGCTGAACACCTAGGTATAGCTCCTTTTATTGAGGGCTGTCTGTCAAATTGCACCCTAAGAAAAATAAAGAACAAATGATGAAATAGCTACTCTTTAGCCAGCTACTTTCTCTCGACTAAATTCTTGAGGATTTGAGTGGGAATTCTGAGAAGCTCTTTAATAAATAGGCTGTTTCAATGTTAACTACAAGGTTGTTTCCTCAGCTCTAATAGAGATAACAGGAACTACTTCATAGGTTATTGTGAGAACCAAATAAGACTAGGTAGGTTGACCATGTTGCTACATAGTTACAAGGCATTAATATTACTTCTACCATCTGTGCACATTAAGCACTCTTCCTTAAACCGACAGAAAAAATACTTGTAAATTTCCTTTCTACATGAAGATGAATTTTTAAAATAACCAGTGATAAGCACAGACTTCAGGAATGTACTATAGAAGCAAATGTGAAGGTGTACAAACTTTCTGGGAAACTAGCTTATGTGTATCCAAAGCCTTAAAAATTTTATGTTTCTGGGACGGCTGAGTGGCTCAGTCGGTTAAGCATCTGCCTTCGGCTCAGGTGATGATCTCAGGGTCCTGGGATTGAGTCCCGCATTGGGCTCCTTGCTCAGCAGGGAGCCTGCTTCTCCCTCTGCCTGCCACTCCCCCTGCTTGTGCTCTCTCTCTCTGACAAATAAATAAAAATCTTTAAAAAAAAAAATAAAAAATAAAATTTTATGCTTCTGATCCAATAGTTTCCATTGTAAGAATATATCTTACAGGCTAGAGATGTACACAATCTTTTATGTTTTTTTTTTCTTTTTTAAAGTTTTTATTTAAATTCTAGTTAGTTAACATACAGTGTAATATTAGTTCCAGGTGTACAATGTAGTGATTTAACACTTACGTACACCTGGTGCTCATCACTAGTGCCCTCCTGGATCCCCATCACCTATTTCACCCATCCCCCCACCCACCTCCTCTCTGGTAACCATCGGTGTGTTCTCTATAGTTAGAGTCTCTCTCTTGGTTTGCCCCTCTCTCTCTCTTTTTTTCCTTTTGCTCATTTGTTTTGTTTCTTAAATTCCACACATGAGTGAAATCATATGGTATTTGTCTTTCTCTGACTTAGTATTTCACTTAGCATAATACTCTAGCTCCATCCATGTTGTTGCAAATGGCAAGATTTCATTCTTTTTTATGGCTGAGTCATATTCCATTATGCATACATACATATAAGAGGAGTAGGGTAGAGTACAGGCAGGAATCTAGCAGGACTCCTTGGGTGTCTGGATAAATGATGTGGCCATTAGTGTAGGAAAGGAATAACGAACAGACCAAGTTTAGGAGAAAGATAATGCAATCCAGTTTGGATATAGCAAGTTTAAGGTACCTTTGCACATCTCATCCAGATATATATATGAATACACACACACACACACACACGGATGCCACATCTTTTTTTTATCCATTCATCAGTCAGTGGACAGTTGGGCTGTTTCCGTAATTTGGCTATTGTAGATAATGCTTCTATAAACATCAGGGTGTATGTATGTATTCCTTCAAATTAGTATTTTTGTATTCTTTGGGTAAATACCTAGTAGTGCAATTGCTGGATCATAAGGTAGTTCTATTTTTAACTTTTTGAGGAACCTCCATACTGTTTTCCAGAGTGGCTCCACCAGTCTGCATTCCCACCGATAGTGCAAGAGTGTCCCATTTTCTCCACATCCTCGCCAGCACCTGTTGTTTCTTGTGTTGTTGACTTTAGCCATTCTGACAGGTGTGAGGTGATATCTCATTGTAGTTTTGATTTGCATTTCCCTGGGGATGAGTGATATTGAGCATCTTTTCATGTGTCTGTAGGCCCATCTGTATGTCTTCTTTGAAAAAATGCTTATTCATGTCTTCTGCCCATTTTTTAAGTTGGATTATTCATTTTTGGGGTGTTGAGTTTTATAAATTTTTTTATGTATTTTGGATACTAACCCTTTATCAGATATGCCATTTGCAAACATTTTCTCCCATTTTGTTGCCTTTTAGTTTCATTGTTTATTTCCTTTGCTGTGCAGAAGCTTTTTATTTTGATGTAGTCCCAATAGTTCATTATTGCTTTTGTTTCCCTTGCCTCAGGAGACATATCTAATAAGAGGTTGCTATAGCCAATGTCAGAGAAGTTACTACCTATGTTCTCCCTTAGGATTTTAATGGTTTCCTGTCTCACATTTAGGTCTGTAATCCATTTTGAATTTATTTTTGTGTATAGTATAAGGAAGTGGTCCAGTTTCATTCTTTTGCATGTTGCTGTCCAGTTTTCCCAACACTATTTATTGAAGAGACTCTTTTTCCCATTGGGTATTCTTTCCTGCTTTGTCGGAGATTGACAGCAAACTATTCGGTTCCAATGATCTATGTGTCTGTTTTTGTGCCACAGTGTTTTAGGTTTAAGGATGTTATCACAGCATTACTTAGAATAGTGATATGTTTTATTATACAGCCATTATAATAGTAATATGCTGTCTTCTGCTGTCTTAGCTGAAGAAAAAAAAAGTAATATGTTGTGTTTACCTAAATAAAGGATGATTGTGAAATAATTGTGGAGTAGCCAGATGAATAGAATATGCAGTCTTAAGGTTTTTTTTTTAAAGACCAATAAATAACATTAAAGGGTTAGCAATGTAATGTTAGATGAAAAAAGGAAAAGACCATGTTATATGTTACTATTTTATTTTAAAAATTGAGTTGCATTGTTGCCTGGGTGATTCAGGTAGTTAAGTAGCTGACTCTCGATTTCGGCGTGGGTCATGATCTCTGGGCCATGGGATTGAGCTCTACATAGTGTCTAGCACATAATTGACAGTAAATATTTTTGTTAATAAATGAATTGATTGATGAACGGTCTTCCAGGCAGAAGAACAGCATTTGCAAAAGGAAATATTTCACTATAAGAGGTATTTAGGGATTAGATTTGAAAGGAAGCAGAAGGCTCTTCTAAATCCTGACAATGAGCAATTGAAGAAACTTATACAGAGGAGGTTTGTGTCTTGTCAATCTAGGCATTGTGGAGGATGGATTGAAATGAGGTGTAACTGAGTAAAGGAAACTGGTTACAAAGCTGTTGTAGTAATACAGATAAACATTAATTGATGCCTGAAATCAGTGATTATGGGGGGTGAGTGAAAGACATTGATTCAGTAGATGTTTAGCAAATAGGATTGGCATGCTTAGTAACCACTAAATATGGAAGGAGGAGAAGGGTAGAGTACAGGCAGGAATCTAGCAGGACTCCTTGGGTGTCTGGAAAATGATGTGGCCATTACTGTTGAAAAGGAATAACGAACAGACCAAGTTTAAGACAAAGATAACGCGATCCAGTTTGGACATAGCAAGTTTAAGGTACCTTTGCACATCTCATGGAGAGGTCCCCTTGGCAATCAGAGGTACAAGACTGATGCTCAGGATAAGGGTCTGGGCTCCTGGAGATAGAGATTTCGGGAATATCTGCATGTAAAAAGTTGGAGCCATGGAAAAAGCTATACAAATTGCATTGTATTTAGGGATGTAATACATGTAAATATCTTAAAAAGTGAAAGCCTGTGACTATGGATTTCTTTTGTGATTTCTAATGACATTTTTATGTGAAATCTTTATAAAAATATACAGATTTTAGCATCTCAAATAATTTTAGTGTAGACTTACTGAACTGAGACTCCAAATTCCATGGATTACAATACTTGGAATAACTGTGAAGTTTGTTGCCTAGACCTAATCAGTCATTCTTACCTCATGTCTTTTACTTGCCAAAATAAAGAACTGCATATATTCTGCTTGCCAAGATAAAGTTACATTTTAAAACGTTGTTATATATTTAACAGCTTGTGCACTATTTAATATAAAAGAAACATGAAGCTTCAATTAATCACTTTTTTTTTCAAGTTTTTAAAAAGTCAGAATTATGTTGATTTTTGTTGCGGAACTAATAAGTCTGAGGATAACTAGTAAATTAATATAATCTTGCTTTCAAATTTTCATGACTTTTTGTTTGTTTTTCTTTATCCTTTGTACTTTCACAACCTCTCCTGAGAACCAGTAAGAATCATTTTATTAACTTTACTAACTTGTCATGTAATTGTTTATAATACAGAAAAATATACCAAACTCCTTCACTTTTTAAAGGCATAAAACCAAAAACTGAAAAGTATACTGTGTGGTTGCCTAGATAATGGAGTTCCATCATCATCAGACCAGATGATAATTATTCTGACAGTGAAATGCATTGGTATCCGCAAGGAGGGCCCTGTCTATAGACGCAGAGAGGGGCCCGATTCATCTCTGATGAACTAATGACCTGACAGTAGAACTGGGCCAGTGCCATGGGGCAAAATGTCCAAGCAGGCGTGGATTCCAAGAGAAGGCAAACAAAAGCACTTGTGGAAGAGGTCTTCTAGTGCCTGTGTGTGGGAAAGAATAAATATTTATCAAAACAATCCATAGTTAATTTTTTATACCTGTTCTGGGTCATGAAGTGCTAACCCCAAATCTCGATGGTCTTTGCCACCTATCCTCTCCACCAGTACCAAAACATCTGTGCTTTTGAAAAAGGTGGTAATTCAGTATGGCTAGCCGTATCTTCTGTCCTCTCCTAAGAATCAGCACAAAATAAGGGGATTGGGGAGATTGAGGAAATAATAACACTCAAAAGAAATTCTCAGCTATCTGTGATACATTTGGTATAATTAAAGACTCTTAAA